TTCCTAAATTTGATAGCTTTAACAAACGCCCCCATTGAAAAATCTGTTCACCTTCCTCGCGGATTAACAAGCTGAGAGAAAACAGCACTAGTTGCTGCATCCTCAGCATCCTCATAAATGCCTGAGTTCATCCCCTCCGCCATGCTCGCACTCTTATCCAAGGGCTCCAAACCAGGCAGCAAAATGCCAGGAATGCTCTTCACGCTATTCTCATCTGGATCAGCAAGCGCAGAGGTTTCCTGAAGCTGGAGAGCATATTCAAGATTCCACAACACATCTCCCATCGAAGGCCTATCGATTCCTTGCTCTGCTAAGCATTTCTCAGCTGTATCACCATATTTCTTAAGCGAAGCAGGATTTATCTTTCCAACCAAATATGGATCCATTATTTGCTCCAACATTCCCTTCTTCTGCCAGTTCATTGCCCACTCTGCTATATTAACTTGCTCCCTTGGTAGCACTGGGTTCAGCGCCGGCCTCGCACATAGAACTTCCAACAACACAACTCCGAAAGAGTAAACATCCGACTTCTCTGTTAGCTGCTGCCTTCTAAAATACTCGGGATCAAGATATCCAAAGCTCCCTTTAACTGCAGTGCTTACGTGTGTCTGGTCTAAAGCCGGCCCAGTCTTCGACAGGCCGAAATCTGCCACCTTTGCCACAAAGCTCTCATCTAAAAGAATATTGGTTGTCTTCACATCTCGGTGGATTATGCTTTGGGCAGCTCCAGTGTGGAGATAATGCAGGCCCCTTGCTGAACCAATACAAATCTCAAGTCTTTGCTTCCATGAAAGTGATGGAAGGCTTGAACCATATAGATGGCTCCTCAGAGGACCATTTGCCATGAATTCATAAACCAGGATCATTTCTGAGCGTTCGTCGCAGTATCCAATCAATGAAACCAAGTGGCGATGTCTGAGCTTCGACAACATATCAATCTCGGTGTGGAATTCAGCTAGACCTTGCTCAGAACGTGAGTTTCCTCTCTTCACAGCCACCTTAGTGCCAACATCCAGGGTCCCTTTGTAGACCTTCCCAAAGCCACCGACACCAACAAGAAGGCTCTCATCAAATTTATTTGTAGCATCCATGAGCTCTTGAAATGTAAACACACGACCGTGGTTAGTAGAGGCCAATGAGGTGCAGCTTGCAGTGCCACTTTTGTGGGAAATTGTTGAGACTTTGCTGATTGTTAGTGAGTTTCCATATAATGGAAGTGGCAACCAGGGCTGAGCATGAGTATTTGTCTTTGACCTCCGAGCAACAATGAAGCAGTAGCACAAAGCTATCAATCCTAAAGCAATAAGAGCCCCAACAACAGACCCAATTAAAATGGACAATGTATTCTTTCTCGAGGAAGAGGATGGATGGAGATCTACAACAGAATTCAACCCATCAAAGCTCTTCATGTCGTTGCTGATCTTCATGATCTCTAGGCCATTCAGAATAGCATTGCTCAAGTCAGCCATACTGTCAGGGCCAACACTTACAGACATCATGCTAGTGTTATTTGAAGAATTTGAAACGAAATCCTTGTAGTAAGGCACTGACAAGTCTCCCTTCAGGGATGACAGGTCCAAACTTGGAATGGCTATGTCTGAATTGATGTAGACATTGAAGACCAGTGTGTCCATTGCCTTACTGACAATATCACAGAAGTGAAGACGAACAAAATAAAGAAAGCTTGGATCAACAGAGAAAACCCATGTGATGTTGAAGTTCAAATCAGTGACATTGGCATCTGCCATTGCATCAGCAGAAGAATAAACCCATTTTGGAGCAGCCTCAAGTCTCACCCCATCTGGATAATTTATTGTAAGAGGATCAACAGCAACAATCACAGCTGAACCAAGAACATGAAGATACTTTCCATCATTTTCCCATGTCCTTCCCAAAGTATCATTCTGAGGAGTGAGCAAAGGGCCGCCAATGTTCAGCCGATACATGGTTTCAAGGCCGCGGTGAGAGAGTCCGCTGTAAGGGGCGTTTGGTATTGCTAGAGCTTGATCATATACCAGTTCATCAGGAACTGAAACTACTTCAATCCCATTCACAAATGAGACGGAGCCATTGGATGGAATTAAGGTAATGACCAATGAAGTGGAGGTGACATTGACAGAATACTCCTTGAAGAGGTAAGAATGATTGAAATTGTTGAAGGTGAAGTTTTTCATGAAGACAAAATCATCAGAGACAACCGTGAGTGGCGCAGATCTTAGGTCATGTCTGGAGCCAGGGAGCGGGGAAAAGTAGAGTCGAACCCAATGGCGGCCAGGTTGTTGGAGCTTGAATTTGTAGGAAGCGGGCTTAGTAAAGATCCGAAGGGAGTGATAGATCTGCGAAGGGAGGGAGTCGCTGGGGGAATAAAATGCAGTATCTTCTGAGGTTTTCAGGGAAAAGAAGGACTGCACCGAGTCAGGAAAGAAGATCCGGCCTTGAACAGATACATTTTGAGAAGAACCACAAGCTAAGAGGTAGTTATCCAGTGGAATGTATTCAGCAAAGGAAATCCCAAAAGTGAAAGCAGCGAAGGTAATCGCGGAAAAGCACAATTTCACTCTGAAAAATCCCATCTTTAGCATAACAGATTTTGCGAATAATTCAAATATTCAGTCCATGCCATCATCTCCAAAATGTATCTCATAAATGTGGGCACTTCAAACCCTAAAAACCATGTAATGAATGCCCTTCATATGAGATAAGAAGAAAAAAAAGAGAGCAAAACCCACTACCAAGTTTCAAATCATACAAACAGTAAAACAAATAAAAAAAGTTACCTGACTTCAGCACATCCGAGTGAGTGAGCAAAGATCCGAACTGGACTCAGCTCATAAAACCTATGTGCAAAAAAGAAGAAAAAAGCAGCCAAGATCGAAGGGCTTCTTCAGCATACCAAGGGCAGAGATTCAAGTCCCTGTTTCAACCGAGAAACCTAGCAGAAAGCCTCCACTGGATCGTAAAATTATTGCTTCCGCCCACCTTCTCGCTTTCTATTTCTTCCTGTTTTCAAAAAATGACGCTTTCAGCTCCACAATCTACAGAGAAGCAAACAGCAGGACCACATCAGTTTCTGGCAGAAAATCAAATGATAAAGTAAAAAGGAGAGAAAAAAGAAGACAATCATTACAAACTTTTCGAATGCCGTGATTGAAGGAGTGGATCTTTTAGCTGGAGATCATGTGCTCGTTCCCAAGTGCCCCTATTGTGGCTGCAGCTGGGAAAAGGCACGGGCGGCTTAAGTGACAGTAGTAACCATTAAACCTCTCTCCCATTTAATTCTCCGTTGCGGAGCAAGGATTTTAATGTCCGCTCATTTAACATCTGAACAGATATTAACGGCATGGACGGAGTACTAACAGTCGCCATGGGCTGAAATAAAGGAGTAACTGCTATTCAAATTGAACAAAGTCGGATGCTAAATTGCGGCCTGTTCATCAAAATTTATTACAATTTATGATGAGAATGTAATCAATTTTTTTTAAAAAAATTAAAATAATAAAATTTGAAATGAGGTCCATCGAAATACATCCTCATCGTGAATCACCGTGATCTACAGTGTAGATCGGACACTGTCAGTATGCAATAATTTTTCCCTGTTTATTTTCAAAAATTTACCAAATGAATAACAATTTTATAAAATGTTAAATAATTTTCTTTATAATATTAATTTTTTTTAAAGGTGGTATTTGAGAATATTGCTCATCATAGGTGCTATTTTCCTGCGTAGAGATTGTACTCAGGGTCAGAGGGGTCTTATCATTGCTACTAACTTGCTTAAATTAAAATTTCATAATTCTCTCTCTGCAGGCTATTTATTTAAATAAGAAAAATTCATATTTTTTCTACTTAAGTAACGCGGTGCCACGCAATCCTCGTGTCCGTCGAGCTTTACACGCATCGTTCTCTTGTTCAGGTCTGCCGTCCACGTATCTGTCCGTCAGCCCACGGTTCAATTTCCATTATATATCGCTTTCCTCGTGTGCGTCGAGCTTTACACGCATCGTTCTCTTGTTCAGCTCTGCCGTCCACGTATCTGCCCGTCAGCCCACGGTTCAATTTCCATTATATATATTTTTTCAATAAATTTGTGAAGATTTATCCACATATGACACAAAATTTTTTCATATTTATAACACTACATGCATTAAAATGGGAAAGTGCGGATAAAAGTAGGGTCCATGGGGTAATTACCCCCTGCCTTATATTCAGATTTTTACTTATATAAGAGGGTATTTTGATCTTTTGTCTTTCTTAAAATATCAGTTTTGCCCCTACTGAAATATCATTTTATTATTCGTTTCTCTAGCCCCATCTCACATTGGGTCTAGGGGGCTCGAAAAAAAGTGAATGATTTCACCTTTGGAAAAGGAGGCATTTACTTCCATACAAATCTATTCACACATACCTAAATTTTAATATATAGGTGCATATCACTCATATTTTATTATCATATCCAAAATATCATGATAATTAAATTTATAGAAATAAAGTATACACTATCAAGTAGATTTATGAGGTAATATCATTGCCTATAAATTATGAGGTAATTTATGAGGTAATATCATCACCTGAGACATAATTTATGGGTAGTGGAGGTTAGATGAACATAATCAAGTGAAGGTGTTTATAAGGTAATAAATAGATGATTGAGATAGAGTGACCATATACATGCAATGATGGTCGGGCAACATTGCTCAACTATTGCTTTTCATATATGAGCAAAAATGGTTTGATAACTATTGTTAGATGTTTAACTCTAATCAAGTGGTTGTCATAGTTTATAATAATGGTTCAATGGTTGTGGCGAAATTCTGCTAGATGGACGATGATGGTCTAATAATAATGAATATGAGAAGGTTATTTATGGACAATGGATAGGCATTGGCAACTCAACCATAACCATTATGCAATGATGGTAAAAAATTGGCCTAAAAATGTTGGTTGAATGTCGGCAATCTAATGGAAACGGATCGACAAAGGCCGTTTAAGAATAATATTCAAACAATAATGTTCTAATAATAAATGATAGTGGATATGTCAGGGCAATGTAACGGTAATGAAATCACGATAATAACAAATGATGACGGTTTGATGGTGGTTATTTGTTGCTAGTGGTCCCATGCTGGATGAGTGACTTCAAGGATCGGGTGATAATGACCTAATGGAGAAGGATAAATAGTAAAGTTTTGATGGATTTATAATTCAAAATACTCAAAACTATATTTCAATTTTTTTTTTCATTTTTTGCTCCTAAGTGGATTTAGAACACATCTATTGAAAATAAAAAAGGGCATGATTCTTCCACACACATCTCACTTCTACTTGATAATGACTAGAAAAGTTGCTTGTCTAGAGTTCAGTTATTAAAAGTGATCAAACCCTTCTATCTCAATGGTGAGTATCTAATCTTCCATAAAAAAAAGATTGATTACCCTTATTGAATAGATCAAAATTATAAAGGATATTGATTGGTAATTCTTCAAATGTGGTTTTAAAATTTCCTTAAAAAATTGTTTAATATGCTCATTAAACAAATTAATTTTGTGATGCTTAAGGCCTATAGTCTATGATAAGGCTTCATTGTTCCCTTGAATCATAAGGAGAGGCTCTTTTCTTCCCCTTAAAAAGGGGTTGATTATTGTCATAAAAAAGATTATATTTAGAGGAAATTAAAGCATGTAATTAATATCTTAATGCTCTGATCATTACTTAAAAAAGACTATTAACTATTCTCATTAAATTGACCAAAAATGGGGGCCAAAATAAGTCTTCAATCTTCTCTTGAAAACTTCATTCATTATCCTTGTCAGTTGGACCAAAATTGAAGGTTATCCCACAGTCTGCATAATAATGCTTCAATATTCCCTTGAAAATGACATTAATTATCATCATTGAATGGAATATATTTAGGGGAGATCAAGATTAACATACTTTATAACATGGTTTTAGTATTCTTTCTGAAAATGCATTCATTCTTTTTGGATGGATTCAATTTCAAAGAGACTAAGTCTTGTATTCTTTATGAGAACACTACATTCTTCTTAAGAAAATACACTAACTACATTTATACAATGTACGATTGAATTTCAAAGAGACTAAGTCTTGTATTCCTTATGAGAACACTACATTCTTTTTAAGAAAATACACTAACTACATTTATACAATGTACTAGATTTTGTGATGATTAATGCTCGTAGTACGTTTGGAAAGATATCACTCTTACCTTAAAATGGAATTAGTTTTTCTTATTGGATTGATGAACTAGTTGAGGTTCATAGTACTTATTTTGAGACTAAAATCTTCCCTTATAATACGTGTAAACTCTCATACTTAAAAGGAGTTAAATTTTTACCCCAAATTAAGGATGTCAAGTCTTAAATTAACTTTAATGCAATTAAAATCCTTTAAAATGAATTAAGTTTGCAATTAAAATTTATATTTTTAGTAGTTGAAGTCAAGAGATAATAGGTTATGCAAAATAATAATAATAATAATAATGCTAAGTGTCAATGTTGATAGCACCAACCATTGCCATTAGTTTTGATGTTATTAAAATCATTTGAGATGAAGGAAAATATTTTATCTTTGATATGAATGCCAATGAGAGAGAGACCACCCATTCAAAGCTCTGGTAAAAGTTTGAATGCTACATAGGAGTCAAGTAAATCATTATTGACATAAATGTGAGTGTGGTGATATTAATTACATTAAAAATACTTATACATATATTAAAATAAGGCTTCTTATTTATATAGCCTATGAATGTATCATCCTTATTGTATTACTAAATAAACATAAAAGATATTTTTAAATGTACTGATGATGATTGCTTTCACACTCCATCTTCTCATGAGGGCAACTTAAAATTTTGATTAACTATATCTCATAGTTGATGATTGATGTAGGGTGGATTTAGTGTGTTAATTTTATAAATATTTTTCAATGTTGTAAAATACATATGACAGATACATTAGTAAATAAGCAATTCTCAACAAAAGTAATTTTAGTGAAAATAGTTTTATCTTTAAAAAATCTTTAAACTGTCAAATCCCCCTAAAAATAACGCAAGTATACGTATCGCTCAAGTGCAAGTATACGTATCCGCAAGTATACGTATTGCTCAAGTAATAAAGGGCTCTAATGTGGTCCTAGATATCGATCTCACAGAGAAGTTGGAAATGCTTATAAGTAATTCTTAAGATTATAATGTAAATTATAATTTTAAACTACAAAAGTGAAGTACGAAATTTTAATCTAAAGTAAATGAGTGAATACTAAATAAAATGCACTTAAAAGACTAAGTTAGTTAAACTAATTGTTAAACTTTCAAAAGTAAACTTTACGAAAACTAAATAAAGTTTTTGCGGTGAAAAGTTCAAATTTATGAAAGCATTTTTTCCCTTTACAATGTATGTATGAATTGTGAAGAAATTAAAATTATTTGAAAATATATAAAATCATTTTGTGCCAAATAGGAGCTATCATATTCTTTACCCTCTTCTAAGTGCATAAAGAACATCGATTAATCCAAAGTTTGGTCTTAAATTCCGTATTTAGGCTGGCAGGATATTTGCTGTCACTTCAGAGCTCTCAAATTCCGTATTTGGGCTGGCAGGATATTTGCTGTCACTTCAGAGCTCTCACTACTCCCTCATCTGAGGGCTAACACATTTGTTTCCAATAAACTTGACCAAATTAGGGATTTTATTATATCACCTTAAAATCTCTAATTCTGCATCCGACAAAGTATATTTCACTATTTATTTGCATTCAACCCCATGGATGACATCCTCTCCCATAAAATTGGATGTGATTCTCACTATGTTATAGAAATCACAGCTCTTTCAGATCATATATTTCTCAACACATTTTAACCTTTCAATTGGCCAAATTGAAAAGTAAATGATGATCAGAGTTTGAATCATCACAATTTATTGACATTAAAGACCATATAAAACAAAATTAATTTTTCACAAAACCATATCTTAGAGTATAGAAAGGGATAAAGAAGACTACTCATAATTCATGAGAAGGATACGGTAAAACATGATTTTTATATATAAAAACAAGTTTACAAAACAAAGAAAGAGAAGAACACAACTTATCTCACACTCCTTCCCAGGAAAATCCCTAGAGGTTCCCTTTAAGCACATTCTCTCTTTACAATCACACTCAAATCTCTCTTAGAAATGTAATGAACAAGAAATCTCTCACATTTTCTCTACTCTTACAACCCTAGAAGAAAATCCTCTCTTCTCCAAAACCTTCCTCTCACTCTCACACCGCTCTCTCTCTTTAAACTCCTCTTACCTCCCCCTCAAACTCTCGTCAAGCCCTAGACTTTCCTCTGTTT